GACTAGGAAATAAATAAAAAGATACAGCCACCAATTTGACTCTGCCAGTGGTTGTCAAAATAGTATGCCTAAAAATCATATGGGTAACATTTATAAAATAGATTCCTAGATCAATCCCATTCCCCCAATCCACCCAAGATTCAAATTAATTAGGTCTGAGGTACAGCCTAGGAATCTACTTTCTAACAAGGACTGCCAAGGTGTCTCTGGTGCTGGTGGCTGGAGGACCACTTGGAGAAGCATGTCCCACAGGACACAAAGCATTATTTAAACGACCTGCAGGGCAGCACACTCCCAGGTTTTATTCCCCCACCTCCACCTCCAATCCACCCAACTCATTCAAGAAATCACCCAGAGAGCTTCTTACTTACCCAAAGAGGCATTGAGGCAAAGTTTCTTGTCATAACATTCAAACCCTTCCTTTGCTCTCCAGCCATAGTTCCCGCCCTTAACAACAAGGTCAACTTCCTCAAACCTGTTCTGACCCACATCCCCACAGAATATCCGGCCTCGGCCCTGGTGCGTGATGGGGTCCCCTCGGTCCACGGCACAGCGCCACATGTTTCTGATCCCATAGGCATAGATGGCAGGGTGGGCCCCTGGCTCAGAAACAAAGGGATTGTCCAGGGGGATACGGTACCGCTTGCCATCTGAGCCTGCTCCATTCACATCCATCCTTAACACTTTTCCCAGCAGGGAACTTCTGAAAGAAAGAAGGCCAAGAAACAGGCACAGGTGAGCAAGGGCACAGCACCAGCAGAGACCACCCAGCAGGGCCGACTGATAGTGATGCCAAGAGACTGCTACGAATCACATGGGGAGACATGATTCATTTTTTTCTTTTAAGTACAGTCATGTGCTGCATAGCAACGTTTGGGTCAACAATGGACCACATATATGATGGTCCCATAAGATTAGAATACCATATTTTTACTGTACCTTCTCTATGTTTAGATATGTTTAGATGCACAAATACATTCCGTTGTGTTTCAATTGCCTACAGTATTCAGTACAGTAACATGCTGTACATTTGTAGCCTAGGTTTGCGGCAGGCTACACCATCTAGGTTTGTGTAAGTATGCTCTATGATGTTCCCACAATAA